GAAATAAAAATTAAATAAATCAATTTTTTATTGAAGATTGTAAAATTTCGTTGCCAATAAAATTCTATCTAATGTTGTGCATATGAACATTTTTGATACAATTTATTAGTTAATTGAAATTTACTAGTTTAAAATTAGAGATTAATTTGTTATAGATAATGATCACTATGCTCGCCCGTTTGTATGATAAGGTAAAATTTTTATTTTATAAAAATTACATGTTTCTCCAAACATAAAAATACCTTGTATAATATCATTTGAAAGTAAAAAATTCCATCAAGGGAAGAGTGTCTTGCAAAAATATTTATTTCACTCGAACTTTCGGCCCTTGGAGCTCTTCAACAGGTGTATGGTTAACGCCGCACGCCTCATAGTGATAAAAGTATTTATATATTTTTTTTCTCTCTCAAACTTAATATTTCTCTTTATAACTTTGATATAAGCTAGAAGAAATAGAGTCTTTGCTCGAAAGTTCGCTTTTTAATAATGATAATAATAAAAAAAAACTTATTGTTATATATTTATAATTAACACAAAGCAATAACGCGCCATCTATACATATAAAATGAAAGAATTTAAAAAACGAATGTTTTTTTTTATACATAATACAAACTTCTACTGCCCTTACTGCAATGAAAAAAATATGTATTGGGAGGGCTTGGCTCATCAGTGGTGAACCCTCCCAGCGGTTTCGCCAATTTAATCGGAGAAGCGGTCTGGTGGATTAAATTGGCGAAACCGCTGGAAGGGTTCACCACTGATGAGCCAAGCCCTCCCAATACATATTTTTTCATTGCAGTAAGGGCAGTAGAAGTTTGTATTATGTATAAAAAAAAAACATTCGTGCTTTTAAATTCTTTCATTTTATATATTTATGATTGTATGTAATTCTGCTGTCCTTAAAGCTTATGTCCATAGTTAATCTAAAATACCCATTCCAAGAGTCTATCAACAGTATCACTATAAAAGGAAGATCGAAAAATTCAATATAACAGCGGTATGGTAGATTAAACTAGCGAAACCGCTGGGAGGGTTCACCACTGATGAGCCAGGCCCTCCCATTATTTTTTTCATTGCAGTAAGAGCAGTAGAAATTGTTTATTTATAAAAAGAATCATACGCGTCTATAATAGTTTTGAATTTTGATACTTATTGTTAGTTTTAAAATAATTTCTGTATACTGGATTAGTTACTAGTAACAATTTTAGGTAACAAAAATGTGTGATAGAGAAAGACACTCCAAGCTGTGTCATGAGTGAAACCTTAGCTTGCTCTGACTAAGAAAAGAATGACTTCGCTGAAGTGAAATTTGATAGCTGACTTGAGGAATCTTTCTAGAAATGTCTGATAGCGTACGTATCTCCAGGGTATGTTTGTGTACCTGCTTATCAGAGTTGAGTCATTGGGACGTAGCTTGGCATCCCATTCATACAAAAACTCGTAGCTCGGTATCCGACCCCCACTGAGGACTAGGTCGACTAAAACGTCCCTTAGAACAACCATGGAACCTGTGTCTGAAACACTCATTGAAAAAACAGTTTTTTAAATAAATATTTTCAATCCTTCCATATTCTTGGACAAGACTAACCTCACCATTGATTACAATGGGACAATTGAATCTTGTAAATGCCACAGTGGGACTGCTTCTAACGCATATAGATATGTAGTACACTTACAGTATAAACTGTCACTGTGGAATAATGGCGTCCAGACGGCTTGGGTGACAGTAAACAAACATGCCCGGCGGCGCCAGCCGCCAACAAAGGAATAGCCAACAAAGGACTAACAGAACACAGCTTGGTCTGCTACCGACCGAGTTGGGTGTTTTCCTCTGTCCTCTTACGTTGTATTAAATAAAGTTAGTTAGAAGGAGATTTTTACCCCCTCCTTTCTGCTATTTAGTGATCTTATTTAAATCCTTGCAACAGCCCACAAAGAATCATCACAGCGAATTCTTCTACCGAACTCGCTTCAGTGTTTTGTGAAACTATTACCCGACATTTCTTCACAGTCACAGAGTTGAAAATAGAAGTTACCTGGCATATATTCATAATTCTTAAAATTAAGAGCCACTTCGGCCAGAAGTGTGTTTTTATTTTCTCGACGTTTCGACAAAAATATTTTGTCTTCGTCTGGAAAAATAAAAATTAAAGTATTTAGCAAGGCGTTATAAATATAGGTAGATACATTTATACGTCTGCTAAATGATTTGATTTTTATTTTTTCTTGGCGAGGATAAAAGATTTATGTCGAATCGTCGAGAAAAAAAAAACCTTTTTTGTTCGAAGTTTCTCTTAATATTAAGAACAAACTACAATGTATCTACATAGGGAGAGTTGGATCCTACCAGGCGGATGGGGGAACGGCCGGCCATCAGACATAGTGGCTAGCTGCCAATATGTAAATAACCAATCTTGAACTAATAAGTCATCAACAGTGCTGGTCTAACTTATGGCAAGATTGACCTATGTATATCCACAAAAACTTAATGATGATACATGATGAATGGCGAAAATATATGCTGCCATTAAAAGAATAAGCATTACAAACCAACAGCTGCATTTGAACCTATGTCAGGATCGGAAACAGAACTATCTCCATGTTAGAAACAACCTCATTTGAAGCTAAACATGGCTGCTACAGTCCTTTCAGTTTCTTTGAATCACTCTGAACACTCGGATTTTCCTGGAAAATCTCTTAAAGATTTCTTGAAAAAAGCCATGGTCCACCTGTGCTGTGTGAGCAGAAGAGCTTAAATTGACTTGTTCCATTATATGTATGTTCCATATGTAAATACCTGTTTTTTTTTCTTCTCTTTTTGCTCTCCACTTCTTCCATCCATATTTCCAATTTTTTTTTTTCTAAATCCATATTCTTATTTTCCACAGGATCATTCAAAAATAATAAGCTGTATATATTTATCATGTATATATAATCTTTCTCCATTTTTACCCCTTTGTATATTTCCCACTTTCATAAGTTTCTCCGTCTTGTAACCCCAAGGAGAATCCTCTGTAAGACCTGTGTGTCTTAAAGGTTTTTGTGTGTGTGTGTGTTTCTTTGAATCAATGGAAGACATATTATTTCAAGAAGACAACATCTATCACTTTCGTGATTATGCCTCATATTTACATAGTGTATTAAGAAAGACTAGGCATTTAATCCTAAGCAAGCACTGCAGTTGACCTTGTACCTCTGATTGCTAAACCAACTCAAGGGAAAGTTATTAAAAAAACTGCCTTAGGAGATCATCTAGGATTTCCAACTCCATTTTCCCTTACGCAGTTCCCAGCAAATTTAGTCGTCAGTCATTTATTTCTCTAAAAATTGCAACAGGTTGTCTCCAGCAGACTTGTACCTCCTTATGCCCAATTCTTCCTTATAATAGAAACTTGTTTTACTTTTTTTTTTAATCTTTTTTAATTATTGTAATTATTATAATTGT